TGTCATTAACTTAAGGCACTATATTTCACATGCTAGAAGAAAATAGTTTTAGTAAAGAACTTTCGAAAAGATTTGTCAATATTTCTATGCATTGCTTTGAGTTTTTGTTGTTTAACCAACGTGTCTCACTAGGAGTATTTATTACGCGGGTATTGACATAGCACTTAAACTAGGTCAACACAAACCTATTTTTGTAGACACAGCTGTTAGTTTTCTACGACAAATACTTATCTTGCTTAATAGCTTATTTGGACCAGAAAAAAAGAAAATATATGACAGTAACTGTGCTTCAGTGACTTAATACCTACCATTATTTTGATGTCTTTGTGGACTTACATTCTGCTTTAAGTTTGCTTATTATACAACATAATGGGGATCTGTTTTTCTTTCTATAACTATTTCTTTAAAATGTTATGTATTTCATAAGGTATTGGGTTATTTTATACTTCGGTCAGTTTTATAGAACACCTAACAGATACCTACGAAGTGAAGAACAAATTGCATGAGAGGATAATCGCAAAGTTCTGTAATAATGGAATAGTATTAAAAGGAATAGAAAAGTTAATAGTATGTATCGGTTAGTGTGTATAAGCAGTCGGTCGATAGTTTTAATGGAGTTACTGCTGACTAAACAAATACTAACCTTCTATTATGTTTTGAATCTACACCGTAACGGTTGTAGTGTGACATGATAGTATTGGTATTAGTATTAAATTTATTTAGTTCCACCGATTGTTTCCTCGTTAAGGACACACGCATAATTTTACTTGAGGACAATACGCCGCTTTTCGTGGAATGTCACTAATGTTTCACATTGAAGGTTCCAAGATGACCGCGTATTAACACATCTGTTTCTAAATTCAAAACATTACCATTGCACGTTAGATGTTGAATACTGATTAAGCTGGTGCTAGTCGAGTGAACGGTAGTTTGCACTTTCCAGTATAGTCTATTAACAAGCTTATTCAAACCGAGCCTGCAACGAATTGAATAATATTATTGGTGTTTTAAGATTTATTTAGGGGTTCTTTATTTCTCACTAACTAAATAAAAAAGCGGTGTCAAAAAGAGTTTAAGATTAAAATTGTACTGATATTCGTTGAATTTTCTTAAAAACTGAAAATCATTGTGTGCTTTTAACAGTCAAAATCTAATAAATCATTCTGGCAGAAGTTTTTATTTCAAATTAGGTTTAAGTAGAGCATCTCAAATTTGAAGAAAATTCAAAAAGGCTACAAATACTGTCAACTTCTTGACACTTAGGGCCTTCGGTTCAAACTTCGGTAGAATAGACTTTTCTTACTTTTTTCTTTTTTACATGTATATATCTCTCAGAACAATTTTAGAAAAAAGATAGGCAAAGTTTCGTTACTTACAGTAATTACATTATTCTAATGCAGTTTCTGAGCGTCTAAATATACGCCCACAATTCTTTTCAAACAATCAGTCGTTTTGACAAAGTAATTTCGTACCTAATCTTTCTAAATTAGTTATGATCTTAGTCTAATATCTGCGGACGTTTTCCTTTCAAATCATTTAAATGAGGATAATGCTAATTTATCATTCGTAGTGTTGATAAGTGCTAGTTTTGCCATCATCAGCATTAAGTTATGTTTTGTAAACATTTAAACATGTTTTTTTCTGATTATGAGCCTATGATATAAAAGCTTTTCATTTTATTAGATGGACATAAAGTTATAAGTCCACAACAGATGATGGATAACCATTGCTGATTCTGTTGTGTTTACCACTTGTATGTCTTCCTGAATGAGATGATAAATATACGCTTTGATAAAGATTGGGCACAAACAGTTTGACTTGATCTCAACAATAACTCCGCATTATGCAGATGTAAGCATTGAATATATTTTTATCCTTATGAAATAAAAATGTTTCGAACGTTTTGATTTAGGGAGAGTTCAGCTACACGTTAACGTTGAATTCTTAGACGAAAAAGCAAACTAGACTAAAAAAACTCGTCAAAGAGTACTTTCAGATACAGTCAAACGTTTTTGGTGAATGCTTAAATGGAATATTCTCGTAAAAATAATATCAGCATAAATAACTTCTTTTCTTAAATATCACGAGCTTAACCAATTTGAAACAGACCGTAGTAAATATATTATAAATATCCTATATCGGAACACTTCCTTTCTTAAACTGTCTTAATTTTTAAACAGAAATAGCATACTAGACTTAAGAAGTCATCAAAGAGTTCTTTCAGATGCATTCAACAATATATTTTCCTACGAAATGGTCTTGAACACATAATAAAATCATGTTTTGAAATTAACACAGTTCTGTTGTATTTAGAAATGGGTGGATGCCTGGTAAAATGGTATACTCAAAATTTTCATAAGAAGCATCTGAAGTGATTATAACAAGTCTCCAAGAAATCAGAGAACAAGAATATTTTAAGCCATTGCATATGTATACATAAAGCAAAGACACTTATTTTGATAAAAGCTAAAATGGAATATTCTCGTAAAAATAAAATCAGAATAAATCACTTCTTTAGTTAGATTCATGAGCTTAACTAACCTGACCGTAATTATATCGGGACTTTCAACTGTCTTAGATTTGTAAATAGAAACACATGATACTTATATCATTCACTATTACTTGGTATTTTTAAAACCAAAACAAATATTTATGACCGAGGGACAGACCCTATCAAATACGAAGAAACCAATTATTCCGCGTTTCACGCCATTGTAGGTATTGTACAAAACGAAGTAAAGACAATACTATTAACAGTGTATGTATAGTTTTGTATCATTGTAAAATTTAGCAAGACATTGTATATTTCTCCTGGAAGGTAAATTCTTGACCCAAAAACAATTTACTCTTGATATGGTAAGTTCTGTTTTTCCACATATAAATCAGATCGAAATGAAAAAAAGATGATTGGTCATGCTTGTTTAGAAAGTATTTGATTGTCCAGTAGAGATAAATCTGAAAAGAATAAGAGAAATATTCGCAAACGGATTAAATGAATGGCTTGATAAATAAGTCATCGCAGAAAAATTTAATATGCTGGTTTTCTGTTATTTTACGATGTTTCATTTTAACGTTGAATTGCAATTGCAGTTATGTTAATCAGTGTTGACTTTTACTAAACATATATGAAAAGCATTTTAACCATTAATATTGGAGATGGAACTTATGGTTATATTGAAAAAAAGAGTTATCTAGAATCGTAATTAAACAACAGTAATAAAGAAATGTGTTGTTTGTTGCGTGTTCCTGTGTGCGTACATGCGTACGTTCATTTGTGTGTGTTCGTACGTGCGTGCGTGTGTGTTTGTGTGTCTGTATTTGATCTCATGACCTTCAAAAACAAAATCGCACTCGCAATTAAGCCGAATGGGGAATATAACAATCATATGCTTAAAATAATAATCTCTAGATTATTAAATAACAAACAACTTAAAGTAATCATTTGTTATTTTGATAGTCAATTATATATAATCCTCAAACATAGGAACTTGGAAGGATTGTGATTTCTGCTTTAAAGATAAAACACACCGATAGCCTCCATCAGTCGTTAATAAGGAAAATGTAAATAGTGACGTGTTGGTAAATGAAATAAAGTACTAAAATGCGTTTTGTGTGTCTGAGCTAAAAAAAGGTTGGAAATCTTAATTATCCGAAAAGAACATGCTTTATTGGTAAAACATATCCCATTTTTCTAATGTTTTTCTAATGTTCAATTCGGACACTTAGATACGGAAAGCGAAATAAGATGATGTCACTTAAAATTTCACATTTTGTATTATTATTTTATATAAGTTTCAAAGTGTCAAATTAAATAACAAACATCAACAAAAAACACATTTTAGAAAAACAAGAAAGCTACGCTGCATTTTTTTTGTCATATATAGTATCGTAAGAAAGAAGGGCGAAACCAGTTATTCTATTAACACGTCTTTTACAAATTTAAGTATAATTCTAAGAAATATACTACATAGTTTTTGAATTTCCTTAAGTAACAAGACAATTGTTACATATACTGTAATTATGTGTGTTGTTATGTAACATTGATTTATTTGACACTTTTATCATAGTAGTTCCATCGTTGCTTCTATTTGCGATAAAGAGTGCATCAATTCACCATTCATGGTGTATATAATATTTGATGGAATATACATGATAAAATTATAATAAATTAATAAGTTTACCAAGTCAACTTCAAATTATGTAAACCCTATTGTGTGTATACTTTTGCTTGGTTTTATAAGTAATTTAGTCTATATAAAGATCAAAGTAAACTAATGGACATAAACATGCACTCTAACGACATTGCTTAGTAAGTAGTAATAATGACAAAGACAAACAAACGTGTTTAAACTGTTTAACAATTTTTGCTACTTTTTCCTACGTGTTTTCAATTTCCTGTTTACGGTTACATATTCGACATTTAAAATATAAACCAATTAATAAAGACAAAATATTTTCCTTAAGTATTCTACAGATTTTGCTGGATTTCCAATGTGACAGGTAAAAGACATTTTCTGGTTAACATTTCAAAACCTCAGTTATATAGGGAGATTGCTTTTTTCCTAATTATATGCGACAAAAATCCAATAATGCTTCTCGCTGTGCTTTCTTAAAAGCAAGCAAAGTCCTTGCTGAAAACAGTATCCAGGAGCATATCTGAACGGAACAACAATATTAAAAGGAGCGTCAGCGTTCTACATTAAATGTTTATTTATTTTTTGTGACTATAGACTTGAATTAAGTTGAAATATTTCTTTTTTGTTATTCAAAAGAAAGGAGAAAATATAGTTTCTTAAGAATTTGAACTAAAGGAACACAGTGCTATCTTTTCTCTTCAACTAAGTGCCTCAGAAATGTAAACTGTTAATCATTCTTTTAATCAAATATATCTGTTGTTAAAGAAATTAAAGTGCTGAAGATGGTAATTAAAGATAAATCATAAGATCTTCACGTAGTTTGAATATTAATTGTTTGTTGTGACACCAAATTAACACTTTAAGATGGGATGTACTTGTGAAAAGTTATGGAGGCGAAAACATTCTAAAATTGGTCATAAATGTGACAGTTTTGATTCTCCGCCAAATTTAACAGATGCTCAGAAAGCAGTCATTCGGAATAATTGGCAGATTTTGAAATGCCATGTGGCAAACATTGGAGTTATTACATATGTTGGGTAAGTATGACTTAAAGAACAATCAAAAATTTAATATAATTTAAAAATTTAAAGAAAAAACTTCCCCAAATATTTCAAACCCCAATTTTAATTTTTAAAATTTTTTGGGCCAAAAAAGAATTTTCAAAAAAAAATTAATTTTTTCTGGTTTACTTAGTTTTCTTTCCCTTTTTAAAATTTTAATATAAAAAATGCCATTTTTTATCAAATTAAAAATAATCACAAATTTTTTTATTTATTTTTAATTAAAATGATGATTTTTGGAAGGGTCCAAAAAAAAAAAATATTTAAAAGCAAAAAGGGGGAAAATTTATTATGTAGGGCCCCATTTTCCAATTTTAAATACAGAAATGGCCCCTTTAAACTCACGGGGAACTTTTAACAAATTTTCTTTTGCCCCGTTCTTAATTGATAAAACTTAAAAGTATTCTGTTTTGGGGGTTTTTAAACCTGGCCCGGGAAAACAAAAAAATTTTTTCCAAATTTTGGACAAGCTGATGTGGTCTTGAAAACAAAGGGCTTCGCAATTTTGTTGATCAATCTCTATACATTCCGAACGTTTTTTAAAACAATTATTTTTGAGGGGCAAATTGACCCAAAATGAAAGGTGTTTCCATGTTTTTAACTCAAATTACCAAAAAAAGCCAAGTTCATTTTAATTCTGGGTATATTATTCTTTAAGACGTTAATCAATGTCAGACCTTTTGTGTTTTATGTCTTTGAACTTCATTGGAGATAAACACAGTCATGTTAATTCAATAAAATCAACGGTTGCGTTTTAACTTAATGTATTTGACCGATAGAAAATTTTAACGCTGTGCTTATCTAATTGCTTCATCTTGTTTCAATTTGTAACAAATACGACACATATTTCACTTTTAGTATGTTTGAAAGCAGACCAGAGCTATTGGAAGTATTTTCAAAGTTCAAGGGGAGAGACCTCGACGAATTACGACGTGCCGGTTTACTCCGTCAACACGCACTTCGAGTAATGGCTACAATTGATAAAGTGATTACCCGACTTGATGAGCCTTCCAGTTTAAAACAGATGCTCAGGGAGGTTGGAGAACACCACAAAGTATATAAAGTGCCTCCTGATTATTTGCAGGTAATCTTTGCATGTTGAGGCTAATGAATTGTCAGTTTATATTTTTTTTTTATTCCATGCTCTTGAAGGCTCAGCCAAATCAAGATATTTGTGTCATCATAATAGAGATTAAACAAACCCAACCAATCTTAAAAGAAGGCACCAGTCATTTTGATATGTATGTAAATGTATCATTATGTTTAGATATTTCTATTTCTTTTTTTCTTTTTTCGTATCTAAAGGTTGCTAAATATCACAAAGTTATTCTTCATTTGGGTTGTATTTCAGGTCATTTTGCCACATTTCCTGAATGCAATCAAACCCCATATCGAGGATGATTGGTGTGATGATTTAGAAGACGCGTGGAAAACTATGTTTGCTATTATCTTGAATCATATGAAAGAAGGATATAATGAGACAAACCACAATCAAAGACATTACATCGTTGAACCGTAACATACAAAATGTACGAATTCATAAGATCATCTAGAAAGTGAGATTGACAATTTTGTTATCATTTCAGTATTAAGGATTTGTACAGAAAATAAGTGACAATCAAGAAAAGTGAATGATCTATGAATGTATTTTTATTTGTCAATGATTGATGCCTTCAGTTAAAATTATGTGTTTTGTTTTATAAAATATATTGTATGTGTCTTCACATATGATGATAAATGCGGAACTCTTGCACTTTGTTTCGGATGATATAAAAATATAGCTTTAGGTAATTAGTTGTTTTTGTTATTTTTTATTTGTTTTGACATTGTTTGCAGAACATCAAATATATTGGCATTTAAACTCAAGGATAATTTTAAGTATTTTCCTATTGATGCGAAGAGAAGCCGCCAGATTACAAATGCAACGGTTGATTCCAAAATTTGCGTGCAGTTCCATAAGCCTAGAACATTTCCTCAAAACAGCCAGCAGTGTTTAATTGAAAAAAAGCTATTCATTTTTATTTATATATTTCAATAAGCTTATGAATTTCAATAACAATTAGAAATGAAACAAAATGTAACTCTTCTAAACAAATAATTGAAAAACTGATATGACTCACGATTCTGAAGACTTAGTATTGAATTTCGTTGAAAAATCATAAGTTGCTATGACAAATACAATATTCATATTGTACTTCAAAACGTTAAGACAAATTTGCATTACTGGTAATTTGATTCATAAGAGATATGTCACATTTTGAATTTTCGATATTTGATGTGAATTAGATTCTTATGTATCATGTTTTTCTCCATTTGTCAGAAAAACAATCCGCTAAGAGCAAACAGAGAATGAATTGTTCGAAGCGTATTTCACATATGGCTAAACTAATACAAACATTTGTAATCTGATTTAATACAAATTCATCTTAGGAGGTGAACATACTTTGGTTATACACACAAACTAGGTTTTTAGGTTTTTTAGCAAACAAATTAGTGGAATAAAGTCCACAAAGTGTTTGTATGCTTTATATTTATATTTCAGTTTGTAAAGAAATGACGTATCATCTGTCAGTTTTTTAAATAGCATTTTGTAAGCTGAATGGAAGTTCTTATATAATTTATATTTGACAAATAAAACAACGACTTTTAATAATTTATTCAATAATCAGATCAGCGAAAAATTGTTAATATCATAAATAGTTTTTTAGGCACTTGTCTCGCCTCGTATACATATTTCTGTCAAATTTACTTAAAAGTATATTCTTCAATGATTTTATATAAATTTTAACCTCCAGTTTTTTAACGAATTCTATTTTGTTCAATGATGCTGAGAGCTTATTTAACACTCTCAAATACGGTTTCTAAAACTAACCCGTACCAAGCAAAGGTGTAAGTTTCTTGCTCAAGAAAAAAACGGTTTTCCCCTGAAAGGGTTTTAAACCCCGCGGATTCTATTCCGCTTTTTAAAAACACTTGGCCCACCCGCCCCTTTTTCGTTCTTTCCCGTTTTTATTTTTTCCATTTACAATCCTTAATTTTATATTATTTTTTGTCTCAAAGGGAAACATAAAAAAGCCAGATGCAGTTTTAAACTGATTTTATGCTTGGGTTTTCAGCAAAGTTAAAGTATAATAATGTAAAAATGTCTTTTTTGGGATTTTTTTTGTGTAGTTCAGTTTTCACTATGGGTTTTCTTAATAAACCTATTATAGGTGAACTTTTCAATCAACAAATACGTATATGTTAGACGTATGATAAAAATAAGGCCAAATATGAACCTATTATAGTTTCTAGATCAGGTCGTTTTCTTATTCATATGATATAATATGGTAAAGAAGTTTAATTAATATCTTTACTTGTGTAAAATGTGCGTTTATAGTACTGTATATCAGGGTTTTTTCATGGGTATTTAATTTTTGCCATAGTTTGGTGCACTAAATGTGGCCAAAAATTCTTTAACTTGTACTTCAGTCAATTTTTATACATGCAATTCACAAATTTCCATAAATTGATTTCCAACCTTATTTTTGCTGTCCAGTTTTGTCGTGTATTTTTTACGTTGTGATTCTTAGATATCAATGTATCAAATAGCAATATTTGATACAGTATTCTAGATTAATTAGCATAAAATGTCTTTACATATCTTTTAGTTTACAATATATAAGATCTATCTGAATCACGATAAAAAGAGATGATTGATGTTTAAAATTTTTGTTTTTCCCCGACTTTGTGCCATCAAAGGAGACAACGCTAGAAAAATATTAGATTCATCATTATGTGTTTAAATGATAAAATTAACCCCAAACCGTTTTAAAACAATTTTAAAAAATTTCGACAAAGCTTTCCTGTCAAACATTGAAAAGGGAAAAAAGGAAATATTTTTTTTGCATAAGACCCTTCCCTTAGCCTTCCAAAAGACCCCAAATTTTCTTTTTTATTGCAAATTGCAAAAAAAATTCTTAAAACGCAAAAAACGGTGTAACAATTTTGTATTTGGGTAAAATTTTAAGGTTTTTAAAATTGATGTTGTATAAAACTTGATGCAATGTTTTTGTAATCTCAAATTTGTATTAAAATATGCAGTTAATTATTTTTGTTTATAAAACTTATGTAAATAAATGAGTTTTCTAAATATGTGCATTTACATGTTGGTGTTGTTTAACGTTTTATTTCGTAAATACAACAAATTGTTCATTACAATTATATGCTATTTCGTTTTGTATGCGTTTTTATGCAAATACAATATCGCTTGCACGCTCAGCCTTTGAGATACACATTCTGATTGATTACAAAATTGGTATACCAAGTTAAATGGTCATGAAATTACAGTTTAGTTTAGTTTTTAGTTCGATAGTGTTGGAAACTATAACTTATATTGAAAAACTCTCGAATCCGTCCCTAGAATCAATCACTAAGCAATGACAGTAATGTGTCTTGCTAAAGGGAAAAAACAAACTGTCCCTGACAGGGTTTAAACCTACGCGGATTACTAGTCCGACGCGTTTACAACAACACATTGTTTAGCTTATTTATTTGTTATTAAAAATACCACAGTTTCTTATGTCTTGATAATCCTTTTTTGTACAAAGTTTCATATAAATACAACAGTTGTTTTGCTCCGTTATCTGCGATTGGAGTACAAATTATATATAATTCGTTTATTACTTGAAACGGATTTGTACACCACGAACTATTCATTTTTTAGCTTTCAACTATTAAGAACTACATATAATAAACTCTTATATCCATAAAACACAATAATTTGTATGGCACAGCTTAGATGAAAACCTCGCAAAACAACTTGTTATACATGACTTACTCGTTTCTGTTATATTGTGACTTTTTTGTTGTACAATAACAATCCGTGGACCATTTTGTTATCCTGCAGATAATTAATCAAAATCGAAAATGACACCAGAAAGTCTGCTGTCTGACGTTATTGTACGATCAATTTCTATGAACCCCATTGTTTACAAAGATTAAAGATTCCTTTGAATTTGCTCATTTTAATATTAAATTTTATAATTTTTTGCGATTTTTTTACCCAAATATATAAAAAAACAAAAAATTTCCAATCTTAAATTGAAATTAAATAGATTTGTTAAAAATAAAATTTGAAATTTTATAAAACATCAGTTCTTTTAATTCGATAACAATTGGGCTTAAAACGATAACTGGGAAGGAACAAGAAAAGGGAAAATGCTTAATTTTAAACCCCGAAATGGTTTAAATTTTCCTTTTTTGCAGAACTAACAACTGACATTTGTGGGGCAAAGGTTAAAAGTTGAGTTTAAAATACCCCGCTCATTTTCTCATTTCAAAAGCTGGAAAAAATTTTTGAAATTTTTTGAAAAATTTTAAAAATTTTCCCAAAAAAAAAGGAAAAATGTTTATTTATCTTTATCCCTTACCAAATAAAATTGGGTAAAAAAATTTCCCTTTATCTTTCCCATGGTTTTTTTAAATTGCCCCAATTTTTTAAAGTCAAAACTTTTTTCCCTTTTGGGTTTTTAAAAGTTTAAAAAAAAACCTTTTGGGGGAAATTAAAAATTTTTTTTTGGTTTTAAAAACAAACTTTGTAGATATCAAATAAACATGTTTTGTAACACACAAAGTAGACATGTTTATCTAAACACTATAGGTGGTTAAAATATAGATACGGCAGTTTGTTTGGGTTTTTGTGTGCTTTTTTAGAAAGTATCAACTTTACCCATAATAGGGAATGAAGCATGAAATACATTGTTGTACATTCATTTAATAATTATTCAAATTAGATATTTCAGTAAGAATTAAATAGATTACAATAAATTTATACGATAAAAATATTTACTCAAAAATAAGCACTCGGGTGTCATTTAGCTATATTATAAGAATTCAACAAAAACCAATCAACAATGCTTTCCGAGTACTAGACATTATCTTACATTTGCTCAAACCTGTGCGACTGTAAATAGAGAATCTACTAATTGTGAATCTGGATAATATGTGCGTTGAACATAACTCTGTTATATGTGTCTCTGTGCATCTATGAACTTTTGAATGTTCCATTCATATATATCATGACTATCCTAGGAAATGTCTTTACATAACATGACATTTCTAATGAGGTTTTTTCTTTAAGGAGTATCTGACCTTGTCAGATAATTCTATAATTATTTTTTGACAATCTGATAAAACAACATTGCTTTTTTCAAATAAATTTTAATACATTTATTTCCTTTTACCCGAATGATGTACATTTATGTTTGATTCTGAAAATAATTCTGTGAACTTTAATTATCTCTAACTGTAACTTTAAATCAATTAAAAGATTTCACAAATGCACGACAGAACATTTCGCATTTAGCTTAATTACTAAATATCATGGGAAAAGAGATTAAAAAACTCAGCAATTTGCAATCGTATCCTGTCATTAAGATGAATTGACAAATATAATTGATAAACTGTATGTAAGAGAGAATATGTACAATTACCTTTTTATACGAAACGAAACATGATAAGTTTACCCAATTTATCGAC